CTATTTATCTCTGTTGTGCCTCCACATGAGGTCAACAAGCTGTGGCCTGATTGACAGGCCAAATCCACCCCTTCTCTCTTAATGCCCTCAAGTTGACGGGAGATTATGTAACTACCACATCCATCATTCACTCTCTCTCCTCAAATGTCACCTTCTCTGATCTCTGGTTCTGTCCCCCTGACCTCTTACCTGCCTTTAGTTTAGCTTTGTTCCACGCTTATCACTACCTGGCATTTTAAAACTATGGTCATGTGCCCAATAGTGTCTGTTCAGTAATGGCCAACCACATGTATGTCCAGGGTCCACTAAGATTGTAACATAGTTCAGAAATCCTCCTGGAAAATGAAATATGGTGATTGCAATCATTTCCTGCATACAATACGTGTGTCTTACATCTCTGTGTACAAAGTTGTTGTGTTGCCAGGCATAAGGTACAGTCTATCTTATAACCTGTATGCAAGGAAGCTTCAAAAAGTTCATGGAAATTTGTAAGGAAAAGAGAATGGAATTTCCCCACAAACTACAAACTTTTTGAGGCTCTTTTATATAGCTTGTGTGTGAGAGAAAGACTCGGGTGGATGTTTCTATAGAGGAAATTGGTTTTCCACTCAACAACTGATGCGCATTTTGTTTGGTGACATGGATGGCAAGCCCTGTGAGGTAGTAAGTAGCACTCTTCCCATGTCCTCCCACATGCCCCATTTCCATCCACGGGCCCATCCCCATTCTGCGTCCCAAGCCTTACCTCTGGACCCACGCTGCCCTGGGGATCTCACAGGGCTGCAAGCCTCTCTGGTGTGACTGCTCCACTGGTAGGCCTGAAAGGGGAGCAGTCACAAGGCTGGGTTCAGCTCCATGGTTGAAGGTCACAGTATGATGGACAGTTCCACCAGTCTCTATCAGGGAAGTAAGCCTGGGACTGTTTTATGATTCTGATCTCTGTGCCACATTTTTTTTCTCACTACACCCAGGGCATCTACTGTGATCTCTTTCCGAGCAGCCAGCAGTGGCAGCTGGGCACTATCTAGTTCTTCGGGTCTCGGTGTTATGACGGCTAGAGTTCACGTGGCCCACCCAGCCTTTGGACTAATTACTTCCACACTTCTTTGATTTTCTTCCCTCTTCTTGGTCCAGATAGGGAGAGACCAATAGCCGCTCTTTAGAGGGCCTCTCCCAAGCTTGTTAGGCCCCGAGGTAGACTATAGAACATTGTGGGCTATTATGCCCATTGATTCCAGTGTCTCCCTAGACTATGATCCTAAGACCCCAGAAGTACATATGTCTTGAAATACATATTTTGGGCCCCCCCTCCCCAAAAAACAAACAAACAAACAAGCAAACAGGAAAAAGCTCTGCTGGGCGGAGCTTTTGCAGCGGACACGTTTCCCGCTTGGCAAGCATCCAGCAACTCTCTCTGAGTTAGTGCACCCAGTGGCATCGCCTGGAAAGGTTCTCTCTGGACACAGTGCATTTTCTTGTAAAATCAGTTTTGCTCAAACCTCGTCTTTTGTGATGGTCGATTTAAGAGAACAGTGTGTGGCTATGAAATTTTGTTTCCTGCTCGGGAAAACTGCTGCAGAAACTGTTGTGATGCTGAACCGAGCTGACAAGGACAGCGCTCTGGGAAAAACTCAAGTGTATGAGTGGTTTTCTTGTGTCACAAAGTGAAATGTCAAACAACCAAAACAAGTGCAATGTCAATGAGAAGAGTCGCTGTGAAATGTGTGCCTCGGATTCTGACTGACCAGCAAAAAGAGCGTTGACTGGAGACACGCCGTGCTTTGAAAGAACAGCTACAAAGTGACCCAGACTCCCCACCCCCCCCCACACACACACACCAAGGTCATTACTGGTGACGAGACATGATGCTTAAAGAAAACATCAGTCAAGGCAGTGAAAGACACCATCGCCACCTCACCCAAAAAAGCTCCTCAAGCGAAATCAGAAATCAAGAGCATGCTCATTTGTTTTTCTGATGTGAGGGGGACAGTGCATTGGGCACTCATACTACCAGGTCAGACTGCTAATCAAGCTTTCTGTTTAGAGGGCCTGAAAAGATTGTATAACAGTGTGTGACCAAAAAAGGCCTGATTTGGGGCAGACGGGGACTGGTTTTGCCACCATGACAATGCACCTGCTCATGCAGCCATCTCAGTGCACCAGTTTTGGGCAAAACTCAGCATGCCTCTTTTGCCCCATGTCCCCTCCTCACCTGGTCTCACTCCATGTGACTTCTTTTTGTTTCCACGCATGAAGAGAGACATGAAAGGACAGCAATTTGATGACAAAGAAGAGGCGAAGAAGAAAAAACGAGGGAGGTGCTGTCAGCTATCCAAAGAGATAAGTTTGAAAAATGTTTCCAAGAATGGAATCGCAGATTTGACAAATGTATTATGTGTAATGGAGAGTACCTTGAAGGTGATAAGGTTGTTTTGTTAAAAAAATTTAAATACCTAGCTTTTAAAAAAATCTGTTTTTAGGGGGGTACCCCTCATATGTCATGATAATTGGTTATGTTACTGGTTTATGTATCCTGTATACCATACATTCCAGCTATGAGGTTTACCACTTAACAGTGTATACTCCAATGCATAGGCAGCAGCATCCAGTCTTGTGTCTTGAGCATCTCTTGAGCGTTGTGTTAACGTTCTGCTTAATTTTTTTCAAAAATATCACCATGACGTGCATCATGGCTCTCAAATGCAGCGAAACCAGTGCTAGAGGGAGCAGCAGCAGGAAGCCGAGAAGAAGCATCCGTTTGGAAGGGAAGCCGAAGGTTATTCAAGAACACAGAGGTGGAAAAGCAGCGAATGCGATTGCTGGCAATTGAGGCCCATCACACTGACAATCACAGTGGTTTGCAAACACAAATAAACAAATTCCCCAAGCTGTTAAAAGATTGACTCCCTTGAGTCATGAGTAAAGGGACCCTCTGTCAGATACAGACAACTTGCTAATGACCCACTCAGTATACCAGTAACCCACTATGCCGCAGGGCTCCTGGGTAAAGTCGGGGTCTGTGAAAAAGAAGAAGCCCCTCAAGGAGATGGGTTGGCACAGTGGCAGCAGCAGTGGGCTCAAGCATAACCATTGCCAGGGTGGCACAGACTGGGCAATGTCTCCTTCCATAGTCCATAGGGCCGTTATGAGTCGGAGCCAACTGGATGGCACCTAATCACAAGATACTGGCCCAGGGCCTGAGGGCGTACAATTCAGGAACTACTCGCTATTGTAGGAGCCCTGGTGGTGCAGTGGGCACTCACTGAGCTGCGATCCAGATAGTTGGCAGTTTGAAACCACCAGCAGCTCCTTGTGAAAAAGACTAGACTTTCTACTCCTGTCAACAGCTATAGTCTCTGAAACCGGTCGCTATGAGTCAGCCTTGACTGGATGGCTATGGTGCCGTATTATTATTATCGGGGCAATCAGCAAGCCCTGTAAGAGGAAGGCAGCCCTCTCCTCCCTGTCCTTGGTCCCTTCCCACACGTCCTCTCACAGCTGCGTGTCCTCCTTGTGTGGCTGGGGTCTCAGTGCCCTCTCCACTTGCCCGACAAAACAGTGCCCTTGTCTGCATCGGGTCTCAGCACCAATGTTTCATTCCAAGGCTCTAAGTATAAACAAGGCTGAACCTCAAAGGGCGGGTGGGAGGAGGATGGAGGGTAGGGGAAGGGATAAAGGGGCATTGCACAACATCCGGATTTAGTCTCAACCAATTCGGAGACAGGAGACCCTGGACCACATGGACTGCAGGACTCTGTTCTGGACCTGCTGGTATCTGTGGTGGTGCAGTAGGTTAAGTAAGCATTGGGCTGCTAATCCAAAGGTCAGTAGTTCAAAGCCACCAGCCACTCTGTGGGGGGAAGAGGAGGCATTTGCTCCCGTAAAGATTTACAGCTTCACAGATAGGAACTGGAAACACAGGGAATCCAGGGCGGATGATCCCTTCAGGACCAGTGGTGTGAGTGGCGATACTGGGAGGGTAGAGGGAGGGTGGGTGGGAAAGGGGGAACCGATCACAAGGATCTACATAGAACCTCCTCCCTGGAGGACAGACAACAGAAAAGTGGGTGAAGGGAGACGTCGGCCAGGGTAAGATATGACAAAATAATAATTTATGAATTATCAAGAGTTGATGAGGGAGCGGGGAGTGGGGAGGGAGGGGGAAAAATGAGGAGCTGATGCCGGGGGCTTAGGTGGAGAGCAAATGTTTTGAGAATGATGAGGGCAATGAATGTACAAATGTGCTTTACACAATTGATGTATGTATGGATTGTGATAAGAGTTGTATGAGCTCCTAATAAAACTATATATATACATATGTATATATATATATTAATTACAGTTTCAGAAACTGATTGTGCTGGTGGTTGTACAAAACTGTTTGCTATGACCCAACCATTGAATGGGAGGATGTCTGGATTATGCCTTAGTAAAAAAATAGTTTGGGAAAAAGAGATTGACAGCTTAGGAAACCCTTTGGCGCATTTCTGCTTTGCCCCATGGGGTTGCTAGGAGGAGCTAGTCAACGGCTGTTGGGTTTGGGCATCTGTTAGCGGGCACAGGGCATGCAGTTAATAGGAAGGGGTAGGATGTCCTCCATATGCCTCTGAAATCCCATCCCACAGACAGACACCTGCCCTGGGCTCTGAGCTGCACCCCTAACTCCCCTCCCCCAAAGAAGTCCTCCTGCTCCTGAGGGACGCTGGCAATCCACCAACTCATGCATTTCGTCACAGGAGTCCTTTGGACCCACTAGACAATGTGCTAGGTGCAGGGGAAATGACAAGGATGACTAAGACGCTGTCCCTGCTCTCAAAGGAGCAGTCATCTGTGTATGCGAGGGTCACCAGAAACAGGAGCAGTGGCCAGGGCCAGGGCAGGAGACAGAGTGGCCCTCCGGTCTGCTGCATCAAAACACCCAGCTCTCCGCCCTGCATCCATCCCTTCCGGCGTGTGCTCTCCCCCGAAAACCAGGCAAACCCTCTTTCTCTGGCCTGCAGGTGATCCTCGGGAAGCTGTATGAGACGCGGAGCTGTCAGCTGAGAAAGTACAAGCCACCAGTGAAGCTGGACACTCTCTGGCATATGCCTCACTTCCAGAAGGTCAGACCCCACCTCCATGCGCCCGGTCCTGCAGCCAGGGCAGGAAGTCAGCCTGCTCTCTTCCTGCCAGCTCCACGGTGGGGTTCCGTGAGCTTCGAACCATGCCTACATTTTGACCTGACATGATCCTTAGGGTATTCAAGGCGGTGACCTTTTGAAGGCAGCTTGTCAGGCCCTTCTGTGAGTTCGAACCTCTAACCTTTTGGCTAGTAGTTGGGTGTGTAATCTTTTGTGCCACTCATGGACTTGGAATCAACTAAACGGCAAAGGGTTTGTTTATTTGGGTTTTAACCAATGGCAATGTGTTAGTCTGGGTAGACTCGGGAAACAAATGCATGGACACACATATGTGTATAAGAAAGAGGTCTATAAACAGGGTAGTTGTACATTAAGAAAACATCCCAGCCCAGTCCAGATCAAGTCCATAAGTCCGATGTTACTAGCCCATATTCCTGATATCAATCCATAAAGTCCTCTTCAGACTCATGAAACACATGCAATGACGCCGAATGCAGGACGATCACAGGCCAGTGGGTAGAAAGTCTTTGGATCCAGTGTCATTGGAAACACCTCAATGCTGGCAGGGGTCTCTCTGTGGCCTCTCCAGCTTCCGAGGTCTGGTTGCGTCCATGTGGCTTGTCTTCTGCAATGTCTCCCAGGGAGTAGCAGAGAGAGAGGTGTCTTCCGCTTCCAAGGAGGAAGCTCCAGATTTCCCAGAATCCTCAGGAGAAGGCCAGACCCACACAGAGGTCTCATTGGCTATCTCCAGATTGACAGCCTAGACTCCACCCCTACACTCTTCATCCTTCAATTGACACCAGATTAGGTGACTGCCACAGGCAACAACAATAATCAGAGCAAAATAATCACTAATATTGACTGAATATTTCCAAGTGATTCACCTACCTAACCTTGAGCTATTTACTAATACTCCATGAGCTACTGTTATTATCCACCTGTACAGTTAGGAAACGGGCCTGTCAGGTCAATGACAGCACCCAGCGTTGGACCCAAACTCTCTGATCGACCGGAGAATTGTGCCAGGTTCACTCGGCCAAGCAGGGGTTCATCTTTAGCAGGTTTTAACCCAGGTTAAAAAAAAAACAAACGGGAAAAGCGGCGTCAGACCTGCTAGGGTGGACGTTGTGCAGAGGAAGGGAAATGGGAAAAGTGGGGACAGTGGCTCCCAGATGGGAGGGGGCTGAGCCCTTCTGTGTGGCCACAAGGGACATGCCCGACCCCCAAACAGACAGTTGCCCAAACAGCGCTCCTAGCCAGTGTGGGCGCAGTGCGGTGTTGCGCTAAACTGCAATTTAGACAATGAAGGGGACAGTGCTTTCCTGAGACTAATGCTCTGGAACAAGCTGCCACGCTCGAGGGAGAAACTGCTTTGCCCACCCCACCCCACCCGCCCTGATAGGCCTCTCGTGTCCTGCCCAGGTGGCTCCGTCAGCATGTGTCGGGGACCATTTGCCTCGCTGCCTATCAGCCTGCATGGCCGAGACCTCCGAGCACTTGTGGTGAGTCCAGGGAAGAACATGACTGAACATTGCTCCGGAAGTGGAGTCCCTGCTGGTGACGCCTCTCCAAGTGGACCCTCCCCGTCAGTTTCTCTGGCGCTCTCACTTCTGGCTTTTCTCAGTGGGCTGCTCCCTGCTGCCTCGAGTCGCCTCCCTTCCTCACGCTCTGCCGTTTCCTTCCGCGGCCTCCTCCCGGCCTGTGCTGGTCCCTTTGCTCCTTTCTCTCTCTTTCCCCTGGATGTCCATGGGGCGACTGCATCCAGGGATACTGCTCGAGGAAGGACCAGGACCCGTGGTCACGGACCACAGAAATCCCCACCTGGTGCGATGCTTGGTGGCATCAACTCTGGACCCCACACAGGACGAAAGGAAAGGAAACACAACAAAGACGCACTGCCATCGGGTCTGTTCTGGCTCCTGGCGACGCTATAGGATGGAGGAGGGCTGCCCCTGTGGGTTTCTGAGACCGTAACTCTTTATGGGAGTAGAAAGCCTCATCTTTCGCTTTCTGCTCCCTTTACAACCAACCCCACAGCTTTCAAGCCAAAGGTCAGAGGAGGATGCAGACAGAGCATCCCCCAACAGAGCAAGACAGGGGCCTTCTGTCCCTGCACTCCTGGGGTGGGCACTGATACTTCCATGTTGCAGGCCCCGTGTTTCACACACCTGTGTGGCTTCTCGGGGGCCTGGGCCATTGTATGCACTCACATGCACACACAAATTAATGAGCTTCTACTTTCAAAAGAGAGTTTGACTCGCTTCCCGTGGGCCGCTCCCTGTCCTCAGGTGGCTGCTCTAAGCAATAATAAGGAAGCAGTGATCACCTGTTATTTGGGGCCAGGCGGAACAAGCATGATCATTCCCCTTGGGTGGCTGCTGAACATCGGAGTGGCGTGTGACTGCCTTGCCGAGCCAAGGGCTGGGTCTGGGCTGTGACTTTGTGTGACGTCAGGGCCCAAGCTTGTGGGTGCTGCTCACTGAGTCGTGGAATATGAGAACGTGGGTACAAGTGCAAGCCCCTGTGTGCACGAGTGCTCTTCATCTGTTCTGAGGATGCTCACCCCCCACTTCTCAGGATGCGTGGAGGTAGAAGGGGCGTGAGGGCGTATGTGAGCCTCCTAACACAGGATCGCCCCTGGGCATCCTCCTGTATGGTTCAGCCGAGGTCCTCAGGTCCCCAGAGCACTGCCTATCGGGAAAAGAACACCGATGGGTCTGTGGAGTCCTTGCTGTGAGCCAGAGCCCCGGTGGTATAGTGGGCTACACTTTGCGCTGCAAGGCCTGGGCTCCAAACCCACCAGCCACTCTTAAGGAGAGAGAAGGTTTGTTCCCGTAAAGGGTTGCAGCCTCGGGAACCCACAGGGGCCGTTCTACCCTGTCCTGTAGGGTTGCCATGCGTCAGAAGCAGCTTGATGGTGGTGAGTTTGGAGCGCTTGTTGGTTTGACTGTGTGCCACGGAGCCCTGAGGGTGCCATGGGTCAAATGTTGGACGGCAAGGATGGTAGTTCAATACCCACCAGGCGCGCCTCAGGAGAAAGAGGAAGCTGTCTGCCCCAGTGCAAATGTACCGTCTGGGAAGCACATCGTCGTGAGCAGGGGTCCTCAGACTTTTTAAACAGGAGGCCAGTTCACTGTCCCTCAGACCCATTGGAGGGCTGGACTATAATTTAAAAAAAAACTATGAACAAATTCCTATGCACACTGCACCTATCTTATTTTGAAGTGAAAAAACAAATGGGGCAAAAACACCCGGCGGGCCGCCTGTGGCCCGCGGGCCGTAGTTTGAGGATGCCTGGTCTTGAGGAAGAGTACAGCCGGAATGCTTCTGAGCAGCGAGCATGGGGAGACTTGGTCTCAGGTCCTTGGGACACAATAGCCAGAGAGACCAGCCTCTGGGAAAAGATCAGATTCAGTAAAGTAGCAGGACCGAGAAAACGAAGAAGACGCTGGACACGATGGGTCGACACCGGGGCTCAGCACCGGGCTGCAACAGAACAGCCCTGAGGATGGCGCCGGACCTTCTGCCCTACACAGGGTTGTCCTGCGATGGAACTGATCTGACAGCACTTAACCACAGGGGCCACGTGCTGGACATGCATTCCCTGGCGGGTGTGACGTTCCCATTCTACCGACGTGGGAACGAAGGCCCAGAGCGGTCCAGGAACATGCTTGGCCAGGAGGGGAACCCCAGGTTCAATGTGGGCTGTCCAGCCTCAAGGCTGGTCTGTGATGCCTCATAAGGACTCCTTCTCTGACCACTCAGCTCCCTACAACAGCCCCCCCCCCCACTTTATCACCCCAGGGCCCCCTTCCCCTTGGTGACATTTTCCCCGCCCTGAAATTCATCACTCTGGTGTGCAAGTCTGCATCCCATTTCCTGTTTCCCCCAGGGCTGAGCACCCAGGAGATGATCAGAGATGTTTGGGAGGAAGGAATTCCCAGGGCAGCCCGGACTGCAGGAAGGATTTACACGTCTGTTCACAGAACTACTGAAAGGCCCCTGGCTCATCCGCCAGGCTCCAGCACCCACAGCCTGGGCCCAGCCTGGATCTGGCAGGGAAAGGGTCGCTCCTTCTCGGGTGAGGCTGGGGAGGGGGGATCCTGATCAAAGCCCCAGGAGGGTCTTTGTCTGTGTCCCTACACATCCCCCCGCCCCTCCTTCTCATCAACCCCCTCACCCCACTATGTAGGGAAAAGGCGCTTCCAAAATAGTTGAACCTGTCAGGGTGATGGATCACCTAAATGGACTCTCCCCGCTCACGAACAGATGTCGACGCTGAACTCTGTCAGAAATAATTAAACACCTTTCACACGGAAAAGCAGCAGGCAGGGCGAGAGGCCGCCACTCCGGCTGGGTCCGCGCGCGCGTGCAAGCAAGCTGGCTTCCTGCACCGGGGCCGCCAGCCGCCAGGGGGGGAGCCCACCCCGCTGCCCAGGACCTCCAGGGTCCCTCTGCAGGGTCCCTCCCGGACAGACTGAGGCCGGGGACAGAGGGACACACTCTCTTTCTGGTCCACAGGGCTTGCAAGCAGCCCAGGAGAGGCCAGAGCCTGAGATAGAGGGAGGGTGGGAGGAAGGGAGGGAGGCTCGGCTGACTGCTGGCAAGTGCCCCCTGCCAGCCGAGAGGCCTAGCCCCATCCTCCCCGCGCCTTAGTTTCCTCATCTGAAAAAGAGGGCGTGGCTGTCGTTTCTCTTCCAGCCAGACCTCCATCATTCTGACTTACCGCTCACGGACGTGCCTGTCGGTGGGGGTGTCTGTCCGGGAGGGGCGATGGCGCCCGCCCTTTTCTGTGCCCCATTTGGGGACGGCCGAGCACTCAGGTCTCCCAGCCACTGAAGAGAGATGGCACTTGGCTTCGGGCTGGCGGCCTCTGAGCAGCCAGCGTGGACATCTCCAAGGCCTTCTCTGAGGCATGATGGAGCTCAGGGGATGGAGAGGAAAAGCCCGTCTGGCTGGTCCTCCGCTGATTCCAGGACCAG